CGATGGTTTTCTTTAGTGTTTGCCACTTACATATGCATCCCTTTTGAACTTTATATAAATGGAAACATACCGCATAAACCATTCAACATTACGTTTGTGAGACTCATCTGTGCTGCTCAGTGTAGCCTAAACTTGTCCTTGCATCGCATCAGCGCGTTCTGTTGTAGGACTACACCATCTGTCTAATGTATTTATCCTTCCTACTATCTGTGGCTGTGCACTTGTTTCCAGTTTAGCATTACTGCAAACATATACGGATATACGTGGAATTGTTGTAGGGTATATGCATCTTTTCTAAGTAACTGCAAACTTTTCTAGTTATTTTTTCATTATTTAGGACTCAAGCCCTTTAAGGAAAAGATCATGCTTTGATGGTTCTTAATTATTCTCCCTCAGAGCCCAAGACAAAATTGCCGAAGGTACTTAATAAATGTTTACCCAATGATGAATATATCCAAACCAGGCTCACTTTCCACCTACCTCGGAGGCAGGCCACACCTGCCAGGAGAAGTAGCAATGTCCCAGCATAGTGAGAAAATGGCACCACTTTGGACAGACTCAAGTAACCTAGGAGGAGAGAGGAGCTACATGAGAAGCTTTTCCCACTGCACCTCAGCTCCTCTTCCCAGTTCCGCCCCAGCCTCCACCCCACACCCTCTCACGGGGACAGCCATGCCCTCAGAGGAAGGAGATGCACGATGGAAGAGAGAAGCCAAGCCATCCTTGCAGATCCCCTTTCCTCTTTAGGGGGTCGGGCTCATCTGCCAACAATCTGCCCGTTTCCTGTCCCACCACCTTTGAAACCACACTGACCTTTCCTGTATAAGTAGAAGAAGGCGAAGGGAGAGGAGTAATAAGAGATGGACCAGAAGACTGAAGCCTGCAGCAGAGACAGGGACAAGCAATCAATACACACACACACACACACACACACACACACACACACACACACACACCCCTGTGCCATTTCCAGGCCTAGGCTCTGAGCAAAGTGGATAACCTGAGGGGTATCATATGAAGTACCTATTCTGTGCATGGCATTATGCACACAGTAGGTGCTCAATATTTGTTGAAAGGCAATGTGTCAGCGCATAACAGAGGCTAGGTACAGGTTCTACTTTCTTCCTCTTATTGTCTCCGGACACAATTCATCACATTTAAAGGCCAGTCTCTCTACTCAAGTTAATCAAGCTTTTTCAGTTGGCCCTGCTCAGGACAGCCCCTGGCCTGGTCCCCAAGAGATGCACAAATGTCACCATAGGAACTCTGCCAGAGAGAACAGCTGTCTCTACAGTCAAAGAGGTTAGTTGCCAGGGAGGACAGGTCACTGGGGACTGCAGGACTTAGCACCTGCAGATGGTCCCAAGAGTAAATACGTTTTCCTCATGACTCAGGCTGTCCCAGAGAAAGCAGGGCACATGCCAAAGGGGAGAACCAAGTATGCACGTGCTTGACAGGGAGTCTCTATGTGTTGGAGAGGTCTGCCGCAGAGCATCTCCCACCCTGGGGGTGCGGCCTTCTCCCAGGCTGGGGAGGAGAAAGTTCAGGAGCCAGTGGGGCCTGAAAAGATGCAGTAGTCCCAGATGCCAGGGCAGACATACCAGTGCCAGGATGCTATCGGCATGTTTCTCCAGGGCCCGGGGCTGATAGTATGTATCCTGCCAAAACAGATGCCTGTGTTAAGGACCCTGCCCATTGACAAGTTCTCCCCCTTCTCTTTTGGAAGCCCTGATGTGTGTCCTCTGGTTCCAGCCTCCCAAGCTGTCTCTCTTGGGACATCCCTGGCTCCCCATAAAGCCCCTCTTCCCCACCCCCACTCGGAACCTGATTTCCCACCCAGACCATGAGAACAAACACAGGGGACTGGATTTGGAAGCAAAAGTGAAAGCAGGACTGGACGACTTTTGCTCCTTTTTTTACAATCCAGTTTCAAATGGGTTGTGGACGATTGCCTGTGGGGAGAGGGGGGTTCCACAAGAAAGGAAAGACACCATGACAACTTTAAGAGGGAAAGATGAGCATCAGAAATAAGAGTAGGCTGATTAAGGAAGAGAATGTGGCTGGTGGAGGAGCAGTTTGTAGGGGACCAGAAACATAATTTGAGACTACCTACAAAAAGTAAGATAACTTAGGGGCACACACAGCCTACCACAACCCCCAGCTTTCATGAGTGCAATGACCCTGGGGTCTCCAGGGTAGGTTACGGGATGATGTGGAGAGCAGCCGATAGGTGATATGTTGAAGTCATGTTGAAATTCAAAACGTACTGGAGGGAAGATAAAACGGAGCCGGGGAGGCACCAAGCGGTACTGAGTGTGAAGAAACCGAGCGTTTGACGGCAAACCCATCTAGCTCCCGAATCCGCGGAGGGTCTCTTCCAGGACTTAAAGAGTCAATTGGGACCAGCACGAATCACGACTGACAGGGTTGGGAGCCGCGAGAGGAAAACGCAAGGAGCAAGGAGCGGCAGTCGGAATGAGAAACTGGTGGCAAACAGCGATAAAGGAGGTGGCTAGTCCACAGGCGTGACTTTAACCCAGGAAGCAGACTCTGCGCACAACTGGCTTGACAAGCAGGCTCCCCCGATTTTCAATAATGGGCGCTTCTGGGGAGCAAAGGCCGCAAAGGGGTTTGGGCCGTACCATGTTTCTGACCAGGGGAGAACTCGACTCACCCATGAGCTGGAAGGGTGGGTAGTGACTGATGTTGGAGTCTCAGAGACGCCGGACGGGGCCCTTTCAGAGTCCCTTTCCCGGTAGATTTTGTAGAGCCGGGGGCCGAGGACGCAGCTCAGCAACTTAGCCATGGCCCCGGCTCGGGCCGCTGCTCTCCCAGCGGCAGGTCCCCCTGCGGGCCCCGCCTCTTCGGCTTCTAGGTGCTGCGTGCTCTTGACGTCAGCACGTACCGGCTCCGCCTCGTGCCGAGTGGAGATATTTTTGGCGCTTCTTGAGAAGGGTTTCCTGCAGTTGGACCTACGGGTACAGCAATGGTCAGAAATTAGTCGGAGGCCTTTGGAACGCAGAGAGAAAATTATCAAGCATAGTTCAATCACATGTTTCTATCCCTTAATAATATTGGCAGACACTCGAGCAGCATTGGGAACTAGGGGTAAGATTAGGAGCACTTGACAAGAGCAACAAAATAGGTAAGGTGTCTAGGAATACATCTAATCAGAGAAATGTAAGATTTTATGAAGAAAATTATGTAAAATTATTGAAAGAGGTAAACGAAGTCCTGAATAAATGGAGAGTTACACCATGACCATGGATAGAAAGACAGTTTTGTTAAGATGTGTGAAATACTGGTAAATGGATGAATCATCGCTCTTAAGCATGGACAAATCTCAAAACCATAATGTTGAGTGAAAAAAAGAAAGCCACAGAAGATTACATACAACATGGCACCATTGTCTAAAATTCAAAAACATAAAATTTAATAAACAAGTAAGTGAAAGATAAAGAGCAAATTTAGACAAGTTTTACACAGCACAAAGGATGTTTGACTGAAATGGTAACAGTCTGTTTCTTAATAGATATACAGGTTTTATTTTTCTTTACACATTACACCTACATAATATAGAAACTCTAACTTTTTAGTGCAGTAACCACATATACAGAAAAGTACACCAATTGAATATATCTATGTCTCAGCACCCAGATCAAGAACATATCATTACCACATCTAGAAGACCCTCTCCAGATCACCACCAGTTGCTATCTGCCCCACTAAGAGTAACCACTACCTTAATTTTTTATCTCTTAGATTAGTTTTGCCTACTTTTGTACTTTATGTAAATGAAATCATGCAATACGTGCCCTTTGTTTCTGGCTTCTTTTAATGTGTTTGTGAGATTCAACCTTGTTGCATGTCACTGTGGTTTGTGCATTGTCATTGCTGTGGAATGTTTCATTGTGTGAATATACCACCGTTTATTTAGCTATTATACATTGTACATCAGAAATAGTCTTTGGTATGCATGGACTATTGTATCAGAAATAATTTTAAGGGCTGTCCTGATGTCCCAGCTGGTGAAAGTGCGTACTCTTAACAACCAGGTTGCCAGTTAGACTCCCACATGGGATGGTGGGCTGCGCCTCTTCCCCCACCCACCCCCGCAACTAGATTGACTGGGCTTGGAGCTGAGCTTGCACCCTCCACAACTAAGATTAAAGGACAACAACTTGACTTGGAGCTGATGGGTCCTGGAAAAACACAATGTTCCCCTTCCCCAATACCCCAACACTGTTCCCTTCCCCAATTCCCCAATAAAATCTTTAAAAATAATAATAATTTAAAAAAATAAGTAGCCTTTAAAAATGTATAACACGTCACAAACTATTAGAACCATATGAAGATCTGCCCTGAGAGCCCTAACCTGGGGCAAAGGGGGTGAATCAGTGATTTTCCAGGCCCCTGCTCTCCTTCTCCTTGAGTAATAACTTCCTGAGTTGTCGGAAAAGTCATGACGTATGTTTTCTATGTTTTTCGTTGTAAAAATGCGTCATGACTTTTCCGACAACCCAATAATGTACTCATCAGAAGCTCAGAAGAGATCTGTGGTGTGCCAGACAGCCACAAGGAAAGTCATTCTAAATAATTTCTGAAGTACTGACTTGGCGTGCAGTCTCGTGCTGGGTTCTGTGGAGACCATCATGAAGACAGTCCTTCACTTGTGGCTGGCATCTTTTAAGGGCGGAGGAGAGAACACAGAATGGACTTCCAGACTGCCAGGAGGTGGACAGCTATGACCCCTTCTGTGCAGGCTCTTAGCACGGACAGTCTTTGATCTGAGTCCCTCCACCTAAGAGGGTAAGGAGGTTGTCTTGGCAGTGGCCTGGACTGGGTCTTTTTCCCTTAGAGCAGAAAAGTGGTGGTCAATTTTTCCCCAGTAAACATGCAGCTGGGCTTTATCTTTCCAGCATTCCCATCCCCTCCAGAGGCCCGTGTCACTCCAGACCAGGGAGTATGGGCCTTTATCTGGGCTGTTTCCTCCCTGGAGACACCAGGTCCCAGGCAAGAGAACTTGGCAGGCTCTCCACATGGCGGTCTTATTCCTCCTCCTTCTGTTCCTTTGTGGGTCCCCCCATACTGCTGCAGGTAAGGAGCAGGAGGTGAGGGATTCTGCAAGGTTGTGAGGCACGGCAGCTATTTCTCGTTAGGGACTGGGGAAGACATCTGACTCAAGAAGATAGATTTCCTCTGACTCACCTCACCTGCTTCTAATACTGGGGAAGACCCAGGGACAATGAGGGTCCAGGTCGTGTAGCGTTTCTGTTAGAAAATAAGAATGTATGAGTAAATGCTTCCAAAAAAGGAGAAACAAGAAGGAGAGATATGGGCATTTGCCAACTATTCCAGCCTTTTCCTTCTTGCCCTCAGATTCCCTCATTCATTTGGAGATAGGGGAGGAAAGCCCCTACCCTCTTCTCTCCACTTCACATTTTTTGTAGCTGTCACTTGAGAAATGTTTTCGCAGCCAGGCCAGTGCTGGGGGACCTCAGAAGGGGAGGAAGCCACGGGTTTCAGGTCCAGTGGGGGTTTGTTAATCTGATGGAGGTCTTTGTCCTCACACAAGCACCTCCCTACAGGCAACATCCTGCCCATCTACGTGGCCTTGGGAGAGGCAATGGAGCTGCCATGTCCCTCACCACCCATCCTGCATGGGGACGAACTCCTGTCCTGGTTCCACAGCCCTGCAGCAGGCTCCTCCACTGCCCTGGTGGCTCAAGTCCAAGTGGCCAAGCCAGCCCCAGACCCTGGGAAGCCTGGAAGGGAATCCAGGCTTAAACTTCTGGGGAACTACTCTTTGTGGCTGGAAGGGTCCAAGGAGGGAGATGCTGGGCGGTACTGGTGCGCTGTGCTGGGTCAGCACCACAAGTACCAGAACTGGAGGGTGTATGATGTCTCCGTGCTTAGAGGTGAGTGGGGGCATGAAAACCAGGGGACACTGGGAGATGGGAGAGCCAAGGCAAAGAACTGAGGGGTTCCTCTCTCCCCATAGGATCCCAGCTATCTGCAAAGGCTGCAGATGGGTCCTTCTGCTTTGTCCTCCTGTGCTCTGTGATCCCCGCTAGACGCCTGGACTCTGTGACCTGGCTGGAGGGGAAGGGTCCTGTGAGGGGCCATGTACAGTCCTTCTGGAACAATGGGGCTGCCCTGCTCTTGGTGTGTCCTGGGGAGGGGCTTCCTGAGCCCAAGGGTCACAGACCAAGGATCATCCGCTGTGTCATGCCTCAGAACAAAGGGGTCAGCTTTAACCTGGCAGGTAAACTGAGGGAGGATATGGGAAGGGATGTTCCCTCTAGCACATCCCACACTTGCTGGCTAGGAGAGGAGGTGAGAGAGGAGGCAAATCTGTTACTGGCAGTCAGGAGGGGCGATTTCTGGTGGACCTGACCATATCCTGTAGGAAGAAGGCTTTTTTCTCATTGACTGAATCCATAAGAAAGAAGGGGGTTGGTTAGGCCAGGCATCTGGTGTGATAGACCATAGTCAAGAAGGAGAAGAAAAATTTTGGTGAATATAGCGTCGTTTAGAAACAGGCTAATCTAATTTGTGTGGAACACCCCATAGCAGAAAGGAAAAAATAAGAATTACTGCTGGGGGAATTGTCTTTTGAAGGAGGAATGTGTACACTGATGTTAAAATGGTCCATTGACAGTGAAGGCAGAGGAGAAAAAAATATCATCGTTTTATAAGAATAAGTCCATTACACAGAGGAAGAATGCTATTGGATGTGGAATAACCCATTTACAAGGCAGGAGGGAGCAGCAAGTGGCCATTATTTGGGGAAGCAAAGGCCACCCATGGCAGCAACTGGGCTGTGCTTCCCTCTGCATCCACAGCATCTGCTTTGGTGTCTGGCCTGTGGTAGGCACTCAGCGAACGCTTGCTTACGGAGCGAGTGAATGGAAGAATGAATACATGGAAGGCACTTTATTTTCTCTTAAAAGGATAGATTACTGTGAAGGGTATGAGGAGAAAGGAGCTATGGCTGGTTGTCTGCTCCAGAGTTAGCTGTCCGCTGTGTGGGGGGTGGGGAGGCATTACCGTTCTGTGTCCATGTTGGCCCGTGGGATCAGGTTGAGAGGCTTGGAAAGGGGCAAAGTGGTGGTGGGGAGGGAGGGGGTTGCATATCAAGGAGGGGTGGATATTGGGGGCAGGGAAGCTTACAAAGCGTCTCTTTGAGGCACAGGGACAGACCTCCCTCACTGCCTCACTCCTTATCCTCTTGTCTTGCCCTTCCTGCAGCCTCCAGGGATGCCTCCCCTGCTCTCTGTGCCGCTTCCACAGGCTGGGATGTGCCCTGGATCCTGACGCTACTGCTCACAGCGGGCCAGGGGGTCACCATCCTGGTCCTCAGTGTCATGCTCTGGAGGCAGAGGACCCACGGGACTCAGTGCAAAGGTGAGTCCCTTCCCCCCAGAGGAAGGAAGACCGCAGAGGGGTGGGCTCACATCTTACCTCTGTACCCCATCTTCTCTAGGGCAGGAGGGGGAAGGGAATACAGCTCTGAGCTACCTGATGACTTCTCTGCCATACCCCAAATGGCTTTCTCCCCAGATGCCTCGATTCCTCAGTTCAAACCTGAAATCCAGGTCTATGAGAACATCCATTTGGCCCGACTCAGGTGAGAAACAACTGGGGGAAAGAGTCTTAAATCTCAAAGGTGACTGGGGTTGGGGTGGGCATAGGGCCCTGGTATCCTTAATCTGTCTTTCTGTTTCACAAAACCCACAGCCCACCTGCCCCCAAGACCAGATGGTCTCCATGACATCTGCTGGGAAGTGACCTGCTGTCTCCTTGGCCATCTGGCACCTGAAGGATTCCCTGAAAACCTTGGCAAAGGGGGAGGGGCTGCGAGTGCTACTTCACAGTACAGCTGGTCTCCAGCTCTGTGTGTGTGTGTGTGTGTGTGTGTGTGTGTGTGTGTGTGTGTGTGTGTGTGTGTGTGTGTGTGTATGTATGTGTGTATATATGTGTATGTAGGAAAGGAGAAGCATTATTTCTTGATGTCACCTACAAAAAAGGTGTGGTCTCCTGTCTTGTAGCAGCCAGTGGAGGGCAGCCCTGAGCCCGCAGNTGGGGATGGGAAGGGGGAAAGCAGCGTAGGTGAACCATTTCGGTTCTTGGTTTCAGGTCAAGACACCCCTCCTGGCCCCCAGCTGACAGCCCTGCCTGCCCAGCCCAGCCCTCTGAAAAAACATCACCAAAAGCCCCTGTGATATTATAGAGGCATTGGTAGTAGCATCTGCTAGTTCCTGGGAAATGGACAATGGGGAGTGGCCCAAGACGACTGCCAATATTAGGTCCCTGGGGGTCATTGATAGGGACATGTGGGCAGAGATTTGGATGAAAGGAGCCAAATTAATCTCCATTCAGCCCCCAATTGTTCTTCCCAACTGGTTCAGCCACAGGGTAAGGGAGTAGGGTTTGTGATGTCACCAAGGGCTTCTGTGATGTCATAGCAGCAGAGGCATGGGCTGGGGCTGACTGCTAAGGAGGGGCTTCCTAAGGCCCCCCAAAGGTTCTCAGGTCCTCACCCAGCTCCCCTTGGGCTTGATCTGGACTGGGTTGCTCCCGTCCCGTGACAGCCAGTGAAATCCTGGGTGTAGGGTGTATGTACCTACTCCAAAGTGTCTTCCCAGTCAAAACCTGCCCGTTTGGGTGAGGCACCGCGGCTGGGAGGGACAGCGTGGGCACAGAGAGGTGAGGTAGAAGTTCAAGAAGAATAGAAATAGTAATGACAATGACAAGCACTTCGTGTTCCCATGTGTCAGCCATTGTTCTAGGCATTTTATGTGCATGCATGTAGTTCTCACAACCCTCTACAACATAGGCGAGTCACATGCTTTTACAGATGAGCAAACAGGCCCAGAGAAGTTAAGCTACTTGCCCACATCACACAGCTAGTAGATGGCAATTTGAGGGTTTGAATTCAGTCGGATCCAGAATTCGTGGTGCTGCGAACACTGCTCCGCTGCAGCCTGCAGCTGTTAAAGTTTGCGAAAATGCTGTGTAAACAGCCCGAGAACGAATTTTAAGAGAGTATTGTTTGAGGGTAGCGCCCTTGCCTGCGAGGACTCGCAGAGGGATCCGGGCAGCTGGTGGCCCCGCCCCCTCTTATCGGAGGACCCAGACCCGCGGATCCTCCCTTCTCCCCCACTCCCGTTTCCCTCCGGTCTCCTCCGCTGATTCACTCGCCTCCTGTCCCCACCACATCCCAGCCATGGTCCTGGTTCTGCAGCTGCTACCGCTGCTGCTGTCGAGGGCACAGGGGAACCCCGGGGGTAAGCCATCCCTGAGAAAGTCGGGATGGACATGGGAAGACTTAGGAGAGGAGGGGGCGACTGGGGGCTGGGATGTGTGTGGGAAGGTACAGGATGGTGGTACAGCGGAGGAGAGACGAGAGTGCAGAGACGGGAGGAAGGGGGGTTGTCTCGCCCTGTGGACCTGACCTTAACCACTGCCCCCGGACTCTCCTAGTTTCCTTGGACGGCCACCCTGGGGACCGGGTGAATCTCTCCTGCGTAGGGGTCTCGCATCCCATCCGCTGGGCCTGGGCGCCTAGCTTCCCAGCCTGTAAGGGCCTGTCCAAAGGACGCCGTCCGATTCTGTGGGCCTCTTCGAGCGGGACCCCCACTGTGTCTCCTGTCCAGCCGTTTGCTGGCCGCCTACGCGCCCTGGACCCTGGTATCCGGCGGCTGGAGTTGCTTCTGAGCGCGGGGGACTCGGGCACCTTTATCTGCAGAGGCCGCCACGAGAATGAGAGCCGTACGGTGCTTCACGTGCTGGGGGACGGGGCCAATTGCAGGGCTCCGGGGCCTAGCCAGGGTAGGTCGAAGCCTTCGAGCACAGGGGGTCTTAACTCGGACACACATTCCGGGCAGGGAGGGGGTCTTGGTGGTCGACTCCTGAACGGGAGAGATAGCCGTCTTTCCCCGCACCTGACCTCGGCTCCACCACCCTTACACCGTTCCCCCAGGGTCCGTGTATCCCCAGCTCCTGATCCCACTGCTGGGTTCTGGGCTACTGCTGGGACTTGGGGCGTTGGGCGTGGCCTGCTGGCAGCGCAGGTGAGCGCGAGGGGCGTGACCAGGGGCGGGAGGGGCAGGACCAGAAGTTTCGCCTACAACAGCTAGACTTGGAACGTTGGGGTGTGGTTTGGAGAGGGAGAAATCAGAACTTGGGGGCGAGGCCACAGGCTGGTGGGTGGAGCCATGGCTCGGGAAGCGAAAGGAGAGCAGGATCAGGGCGTGGGAGGGACTATCTGTGGGGGTGGAGCCTAAGTTATTTTGCGGGTCAGAGCCTGCAAGTTGCTGGGTTGTGGTTGGCGCGGCCCGGAACCGAGAACAAGCAAGACAAGACTGGTGGCTCTCAAAGACTATTATACATCCCTAACAGACGTTCGCCCCCGCCCCCGCTTCGACCAGTCCCCAGATTTGGTGAGACTAACTCCACCCCATTTTCCTTATCCTACCCGCACATTCCCCACCCCTCAACTCCTGAGTCTGAGCCCTTGCTGGGAGCATACAAGTTGGTCACCTCTCAATCCTTCCGTTGTATTCCCCTACATAGCTCCACTCGTGAAAACCGAACCCCGGAGGCCAGTAGAGGAGGAGCCTAAGATTGCAGGGGACCTGGACCAGGAGCCGGTAAGGGCTTGGGGATGGGAAGGGGNCCTGGGAGGGGTTCTCTGATAATAGGTCTTCTGACAATAAATGCACCATTTCTCAGACACAGACGTTTATTACTCAAAATGGAGAGAGGTGAGCAGGGGGATGGCATACAAATGTCAGCCAGGGTTTGGGGAATCAGCCCCATACAGTGAGGTCACTGGAGCCTTCACTGGGGACAGGACAGAAGCCCCATTTCAGGCCCAGATCGCAATGCCTCCCCAAGAAGGGCAAGTACAGTGCAGGATACAAAATGGGGAGCCCTTCTAGGGGCCAGTAGAAGATCTGGAATGGTCTAGAGGGAAATGGGAAGGGACTCGAGAAAAGCAGAGAGGAGGGCGTGGGGTGGAATGATGAACAGGGAGACCACTGTCTAATTAAAGAAATGTGAAGCGTCCGGAGAAATGTTATTCCAAGCAAAGAGAGCTAGGGAGAGACCACTGTGGGAAGCCAGGGTGTAGGGACAGAGGCTCAGGTAAGGCAGGTGGGAGGAGGGGCAGCCAGGAGTGAGTCTCAGTGCAGCAGCCAGAGGCTAAGGCCAGCCAAGGAGGTGAGGAGGACCATGGCCAGGGCCGGGGTGGGCCTGGGCGCAGGGCTATTGCAGTTGTCCTTGCTGCAGCAGGTGGTGTTATAGGTCAGCCCCAGCTTGTGGTTGGTTTGGTTGAAGGCCTCCCGACAGGGCTCGTCCGGTGTGCCACAGCGAAGGTTGGAGAAAACCCACATCTTACCTGGGGGTAGGAGTGGGCAGTGGGGTCAGCTGGGATGGGCATCAGCATGCCTGTGTCCACCTCCCCACTCCACGTACCCACCCAGGCTTCTTCCTTCCCGACTGCCCCTGCTTTTCCCTTCTTTATACCCTGCTCCCTCACCCCAAGCCTGGTCCTGTCACTTGCTGGCCGTGAGGCCTTGGGCCCATCACTGTCTCTTTCTGAGGCTGCTTCCTCAGTAGAATAATATCACCCATATTATAGGGTTGTCATGAATATTAATTGAAACAATTTATGTAAAGATGTAGAATAGGGCCTGGCACATAATAATTCTTGGCCAAATGTTATCATTGCTGTCATTCTCTGTTCCATCTCAGCCTTAGCCCCAGTTGGGCCTCAGCCCCAGCCATAGAGTCTCCTACTGGCCCCTTCTCCCCACTAAAGAAAGGGATATTACCGAGGTACACATTTGTTGTCAGACATCTGTGTCCTGGCTCCAGGCGACAGGACTGCCGGTCCACACAGCCCAGCACAGGGACCTTGTAGCAGGAGTGACAGCGAATGTCAGCTGGAAGACACAAGTCAGGCTGAGGTGATGGGTTGTCTGACTCACCTGGGGATGAGCTGAGCTGGGGGATAGGGTGGAGAAGAGCCAGTGAAGTAGGTGTTCCGACCTGTTTGGTCTGGCAGAGACAGAGTAGGTGACTGATAGAGAAAACGTGGAAGTGGGTGAAGGTGGAGTCGTTGCTCTGTGAACAGCCCACACCCTAAATATCTTCCTTAGCTACATCTGGGAATGAGTCAGGAGGAGCAGAGCTATCAACAAAAACACGGGGCTGGGATAGATGAAAAGTGAGAATTCCACGGGGAAGGAATGGAGGAAGTGGGGGAGAAGACAAAGGAATTCAGAAGAGGTCACAGAGACTTGAAATAGGAAGAAATATTAAAAACATGGAGGTTACACAAATGGCCTGGAACTTGAGCCTGGCAAGAGAGCCACCTATGGCTAGAGTTAGCAATCTACTCTTCGCCTCCTGGGCCCATCTGGAGTGTGAGAAGAGGAACCTGAATGGAATCCTCTCACTCCAGGAGCTCTCTGACAAAAAGGATTACTACCTGGGAGACAGATCACCAGATTCCACCTGGGCACCTTAAAAATGAAGCGGGTGGATACGGAAAATGACACCCCCAAATTCCTGCCACAGCTAATTCAAGGTGTGGTAAAGGTTTGGTAAAGGAGGGGTTTGGTGAAGGAGCCTGTTGACAGCACCTCAGCGAAACCGACCTCACCCTAGGAGTGAGCAGCCCTGGCATTCACTCCCTAGAAGGCCAGGGAAATCCCCGGTTCCCGAAGATGTTCTAAGAGGTTACTGGCTCCCTCCAGAAAAGCTTGTGTCCCTGGGGAACGTGCCCCAGGGAGGAACAGGAGCGAACTAGGAAAGGCCACAAAGTCCCTGATGGAGTAGATGGGAGGGTGGGGTGCAAAAGAGGCTCTAGCCTGGATGCCTAGGTTTCTGGGAGGACATCCTGCAGCGTGCAGGTGGACAGAGGAGGAAGCAGGTAAGTTGGGTCCTGGAGAGTTTTGTATTGGAGTGGGGCTGGCAAGGGAACGAAGAAGGGTTCTGTCAGGGTTTCGAAGAAGGGGGAAACTTGGGAGTGGGGAACGGGGGACCTGGAGCCCTGGCCAGATAGAAGAGTGGGTCTTGGAGGTGGGGAGAAGTCTGAAGGATGGAGATGTGAGTCCTTGAGAAATTCAGCAAGGACCCTGCCACAGCGGGGCCTGATTCTGCAGGCACAGGAGAGCTGGGCCAATTGGGGCCAGGGGTACTTGGGGTGGAGGGCAGCTGGTGAGGCCAGGAGTAAAATTCCTGATCAGGTCAACCAGGTCTTTGGGGTGCCCCATGCTCACCTGAGACCCAGCAGAGCAGAGAAGACAAGGTGAGCAACAGCAGGCCTTTCATGGTGAGGGTCCTGAGAGTGGTGGCAACTGCAGCAGCTGACGGTAGATTTTCGGGGATCCAACTCCGGGAGTTGAGTGACCTTTTTGAAATTTATAATCCCAATGGTCCAGTCCCTCCCTTCTCTGCCTCTGGTGGCCCCTCCTTCCCCATTTATGCACAGCTGACTGAGGAAAAGACTAGGTGTGGGGAGGGGCTAAACAGGACTGGGTGGGGGAGTGGGGATGGGAAGGGGGAAAGCAGCGTAGGTGAACCATTTCGGTTCTTGGTTTCAGGTCAAGACACCCCTCCTGGCCCCCAGCTGACAGCCCTGCNCTGAAGGATTCCCTGAAAACCTTGGCAAAGGGGGAGGGGCTGCGAGTGCTACTTCACAGTACAGCTGGTCTCCAGCTCTGTGTGTGTGTGTGTGTCTGTGTGTGTGTGTGTGTGTGTGTGTGTGTGTGTGTGTGTGTGTGTGTGTGTGTTGGGGTAGAGTGGGTGTTGAAGGAAAGGAGAAGCATTATTTCTTGATGTCACCTACAAAAAAGGTGTGGTCTCCTGTCTTGTAGCAGCCAGTGGAGGGCAGCCCTGAGCCCGCAGTATTATGGGGTTGTGGGGAGACTGGCATAGCTGACAGGGGTGAGGAGGGGTGGGGATGGGCAGCAAGGAGACAGAGGAATCTAAGGACTTGAGTGGTGGTGGAGAACTTGGCATGGAGGAACCGGAGACAAATGGGGGAAACTGAAGAAGAGAGAAGGGAAGAGACTCAAGTCAGAGTAAAGGATGAGATGTTCAGAGAAACAGAAAAATAGAAGCACAAAATAAGAGCGTTGAGGGACAGAGAGAATGGAAAAAAAATTCAAGTTGCCTGTAAATTAATCCAACTCCCCCCATCCTCACAAAGAAAAGAAGTTGAGAGAGAGAGCAAGCACCTTTAATCAGACCCCAGACTTCCTCAGACGGAAGAGAAGGGAACTGAGTCAGTGTGGGGGTGCCCATGCTTGGCCCCCACACCGGTCACCCTCCTTATCCCAGGCACGCCATTGTGGCATCCGGAGCAGTGAGCTGCCTATCATCATCCTGACATCCTGGGAGCCCAAAGAGTCACATGCTATCTCCCTGGGCAGGAGTGTCCACAGGGCCCGGGCCAGTGGATTCCCTGGTGGGGTGTGTCACCAGGTCCTGTGTGCTGGGCTGTTTGTGAACCATTGACAAGTCTGGGCTTGTGAAGCGGGGGAGGGCATTGATGCTCCCAGCTCATCCACTCCCCGGGCTCAGGCAGAAATAAGCTGGACTCCCAGCCACACACCCTCACAAGCAACTCCATCAGGTGTGCTTTTGTGTATCTGCTCACGCTCACGCGTGGGCCTCACTGGAGAAAAGCTTTCTCGGAAGTCTCACCTAAAGCCTTCACACTACAATGGCTTAAGCTAAGCTATTGGCAAGAAGGAGGATGCAAATGACATAGATGAAGAATGAGGTGAAAGTTATGGTTCAGGTTCCAGCACCCAGCACAACCCACCAAGCAGCTACAGTTTGCTTTTAGAAAGCATGCAGAGATGCACACAGCCATGTTACTGAACTCCCAGATAGCACTTTTATTAAATTTACTCTTCATAGTCCCCAAGGTCTCCTTCCTGAGTTCCTGACCTACCAAATTAATCTTTCCTAGCAAGACTTCCTCCTCACCATACTTGGTGCTCCTTTCATCCTCTTGCCTGGGACCCGCAGCTCCATCAAAACACCGGCCTTGCCAGAGACCTAGGGCTGAAAGAGGGCATCAGCAATGGGCATCTAGAAAATACAAAAGACACAGAATAGGGTTTTTTTGTTTTGTTTTTTGTTTTGTTTTATGAGGCTGGGCTCTGGACAGGTGCCTGTAGGGGCTGGAGCAGTATACCCATTGGAATCAGGTCTTAGGAGGGGTCTGCAAAGGTGTTGGGTGTTGGGCCAGGGATCTGAGGTCTCGGTACCAAACCTGGTTCGTGGCCATATCTCCAAAGTGTCTGTGCAGGTGTTTCCAGGGCCATGGTGATGGTGGAGGGTTCCTGGGTTGAGGGCTGCAGATCTGCATGAGGCTAGTGGAGGAGGTGGCCTCCCCAGGTGAAGCTGACCATGAGGAGGGGCAGGTTGGTGAGGAGAGGGCTGGAGGGCCGCTGCAGCATGGTGGCCACGTTGCACACATCCTGGTGGCAGCAGTGGTGCCACAGAGCATAGGAGCTTGAACAGTAGGTGGCATGCCCTGGCAGAGGGCACTGGGCTCTTGGGAGGCAACCTTTTGGCTGGATGATCTGACTGCTCTGTGGGACAAAGTGGGAATACTGAGGCAGGGACAGTAATGAAGCAAGGGCCAGCGGGCAGCAAGAAAGGCAGGACGGGTGGAGGTGGGGAGCAACCTGGAGTAGGGTTTGGACCAGACTCCTGCCTGAGGTGCCAGTATGGATGGCACAAGCTTCATCATCCTGACACTCGGTAGGAACAGGGTAGCAGAGTTTGGCAAAGCTGCAGGTGTAACAATGGGGCCAATCCCAGCAGGGGAAGTGGTGATACCCGTGGGGTTGGCTGAGATCAGGGCAGTGGGGAGGAAAGGCAAACAGGCCCGGTGAGGGGTGGAGCCAAGATCTGGGATAGGAAGGGGATGCACACAGAGAGGTGACACACAAAGTGGGGAGAAGGAAGCAGTGAAATGGAGGGAGAAAGGCAGATAGAAAGGGAGACACAGAGAAGGGAAGGGAGACAGTGCAGTAAAAGAGAAAGACACAGAGGCAAAAGGGATACAGGGATTGTGAGACACAGATGTGAATCAGAGATGACCTTAGAGAGTGACGCCAACAGCCAGGGGGTGGGAGGTGGCAGTGAAGAAGTTAAGCAGGTGATGGCCAGAGACAGATGAGAAAACTATAACTGACATTCACTGAGGTGACCCGCAAAGAAGCAAGAGGTGAGATAAGGGGCAAGGAAGACAGAGGCTTTTCACAGATGCCACAGGAAGGTACAGTTATTCTCCAGTGGGACTTGTCCTGTTCCACCTTATCAGGCTAGCCTGAGGCCATTCCCAGTAGGTCTTTCTAAAGCTCCTATAATTCTCTTCTTCCTGTTTCTCAGCCCCTCTCCCAGTCAGCACTCAGGCTCTTCCACAAACCCCTGCCCACCTTTACCCAGTGCCCCAGAGAGGAAGGAGATGCAGAGGAGGGTGTTGGAGGTGCCCATGGCTGGGCCCAGGGCTCAGGAGTCTGGGAGAATTGTGACCTTCACCCCAAGATCCCCAGAGTCAGAGAGTTGGAGTATCTGAGTGAGACAGGGAGGGACAGTAAACAAACACGCCTAGGGAGTGAACCTGGGAGGGGAGAAGGCAGAACCAGGACCAGGTTCCCCAGCCAGAGCTGCGAGAACCTGGGGGGCCTGGCTCCTGTGCACCAGACTCCCTGCCCCCTACTGAAGTCTGCTCTTGCCTTGAGGGTCTTCTCTGTTCTCTCGGCTGCGTCTGTGCTCCAGAGTTGTCTGTCACTTTCCCTCCTACTCCTCTCCCTTCCCCACCCTCATCTCAGGCTGTTTGCTCTCTCAGCCTTCTCCTCATCTTTGCTTTGTCTGTGTTTTCCCCCTGTGTGCATTTAAGTCTCTCAGAGTGACCCTC